CTACTATATATATATATATATATATATATATATATATATATGCAGTCTTATCACTAGTTCTGTTCCCCCTCCCCAATTTATATAATAAATTTCTGATTTTGTTCTCCCATTTATATCCGATTGTATGTAGGTAAATCCCTAAATTTAACTCTGCAAATCTGTAAAATTTGTTATATTCGTATAAGCTACCCCTTCATTAAACATAAACCATTTTCTGATTAAAATCTCTTCCCTCGTTTCCAAACATTTTAATAATCTATGTGCAGTATCTTCATCCTCGCTACGTAGAGGACATCTTCCTTTCTCATATCCTGTATTCGTCCTTCTCTGCTTGCAGATTCCAGTCATAAACCAAGCTAGCGTTATAGAACATAGTGATGAAGAAAATATTTGAACTGTAAATAGCAGGAAGATGTAGAAACTATATAGGCTTAATTATCTCGCACTATTTTATTATTACACTGATCTTTCTAAGGAAGGCACGTGGAGAAATGTGACATATACGTATATTAAATTTTAATCGGGTCAGCTGGGGGGAGGACCACGTGGGAGACCTAGACATAAATAGAATTATAGCATTAAATTGTTGGTGTGAGCTGAATCGGTTTACCTCAGTATCAGGTCTCGTGGCAAACTTGTGGAATCTGGTTTTGAACTTTCGTATTCCGTAGAGTTCAGGGGTCTCTAGGTCAGCTGACGCATTGTCAGCTTTTGAATGACTGTGCTCTGTGATGATTTGGGTTTTATCCGGAAGGAGTGAATAACAGCCTTTTAATGTATTCTCGAGAATTGTGAACACATGTCTGTCGTGAATAGTTTGGTTTCCTATTAAAATATATTCTCAAAATATTTGCACGTGTTCGGAATATATTTGTGTATTTAAACAAACGTAACAAGCTTGCATAAAGCATTTCGTGTACTGAATTGCTATACAAATTAAAAACACTATCAGTCGACCAATCGGAAAAAAAATTAACTTTTTCACAAAATATTTTTTTTTAAATCACTCGAATTTTGTGATATTTTGCGTTTATGAAGCGTGTCTTCCACATAGTAGGTACACGTTTGCCGCGCTTCGACAGTATTAGTTTCAAACTTTATCCCATACATCCCCTTTGCATAACATTCGTTGCAGTTACCACAGACTCTGCTCACAAGAGCATGACTGGCATTTGTCGTCACTGTATATTGCAGATAGTCTTGGACTGATATAATTTGCCGTGCCCCGAAGCCAGAGAACTTAACTCAACTCTCCCCATAACAAACTTTCATTTCCAGCCGTTGTCGCAGAAGCCACGGATAGCCAGTGGCCACCGACTTTGAGTTCCACTTTATTGACGCTGCAGGAAGTGAATAGGGTTGCATGAAGAGTGATTACTGAAGTTGAAGTCGAGACTGACTTTATTTGAAGTGTCGTAACACTAGCGATATCGCAGTTACAAACAGTTCGTACTAAAGCGCTATTCACCTAATTTGGATATATATATATATATATATATATTACATTGATCAAAAGCGATACTAATAAGCCTGTCTTGTGGAATGTTGAGCAGTATAGTCTGGTAGAAGTTTACCGACGTCTGGCTATCTGGATAATAAAAGAAGTGAAGCAATTTTACTTATCGTTATGATGGAAGCAGAAGTACCTCTGAAAGCTTAGCAAACAATTGGTGATGCATACGCAATTAAGTTGACAAATTTAATGGAATGGAAAACTGTTGTACTATAAAAAATGTATTAATTATGTAAAAAAATCAGTATTTAATTTTGAAAACTTCTTGTATGTTTTTTTTTTTTTTTTTTTTACTTTTCTAAGGACAAAATGTTATTTGTAAAGTATGTTATGGTTATGGGAACGTGTAAACTCGATCTTATACCCTGAAGATTGAGGTTTTATTTTCCT